TGCACATGTCTCTTCAACACACTGATTTCAGTTCCTATGGATATCAGCCTTGTGGTGGGAATGCTGCATCCCATGGAAGTTCTGTTTCTTGTTTCTTGAGGATCCTCCATCCTGTTTTACAGAATGACTGTACTAATTGACGTTCCCAGCCGGCGCTGCGGCTCACTAGGATAATCCTCCGCCTGCAGCGCAGGCACCCCGGGTTCTAGTCCCGGTCAGGGCACCGGATCCTGTCCCAGTTGCCCCTCTTCCAGGCCAGCTCTCTGCTGTGGCCCGGGGGTGCAGTGGAGGATGGCCCAAGTGCTTGGGTCCTGCACCCCATGGGAGACCAGGAGAAGCATCTGGCTCCTGGCTTCGGATCAGCACGGTGCGCCGGCCGTAGCGGCCATTTTGGGGGTGAACCAACAGAAAAGGAAGACCTTTCTCTCTGTCTCTCTCTCACTATTTAACACTGCCTGTCAAAAAAAAAAAAAAAAAAACCTAATTGACGTTTCCACCAACAGTGTGTGTATCCTTGCCAGTACATGCTATTTATTTATTTTTCTTGTCTTTTTGATAATAACAATTCTAACTGGGATGAGATGATATCTCCTTGCATTTCTGATTTTTTATTTCTCTAGTGATTGGTGATGTAGGGTACTTTTTCCATATACTTGTTGGCCATTTGTATATCCTCTCTTTTGTTTTAATTCCCTGATGTGGGAAATGTTTTCTTTCTTTATTTCTTTTTTAAGATGTATTTTATTTATTTGAAAGAGTTACAGAGAGAGGTAGAGCCAGAGAGAGAGAGAGAGGTCTTCCATCCACTGGTTCACTCCCTAAATGACTACAACAGCCAGAGCTCCGGAGCCAGGAGCCAGGAGCTTCTTCCAGGTCTCCCATGCAGGGGGTGCAGCAGCCCAAGAAGTTGGGCCATCCTCTACTGCTTTCTCAGGCTATAGCAGAGAGCTGGATCGGAAGTGGAGCAGCTGGGACTTGAACCGGCACCCATATGGGATGCCAATGCTGCAGGCCAGGGCTTTAACCTGCTGCGCCACAGCGCCAGCCCCTGTATATCCTCTTGAAAAAAATGTCTATTCAGGTCATTCATCCATTTCTTAAAATCAGATTTTTTTTTCTTTGCTATTGAGTGGTTTGAGTTTCGTATATGAGGATGCTTCCCACTTGATCGTGGTGCCCTCACAGAATCATTGTTACGTGCTGTTCTTACAGCCCTGTTGCAGCTGCAATCCAGGCTGAGGGACCACAGCCACGCAGACACGGTCTGGATCCACCAGGGGCAGCCTCTCAAAGACACGCCTGAGTGAGCACAGAGCTGACTGCTCAAACCAGGACAGTGTTAACAGTGACTCAGAATGACACTTCCCAGATAAGCAGGCACATTGTGGTCACCCCAGGGTGATCGGCTGTGCTCTGTGGTCAAACCTTGCCAAAGAAAAGACAATACCCAGCTGTCTAAGCATGAAAACTTGCTAGAACTCAAAGTAGCTTGGCATCAGGATCGCTTTATTTTAAAAGCCCATTGTGTTGTTGAAGAAGAGGCTGTGTCCTCGGCCCATTTTGGCTACAGTTGCGGACTGCGTAGGGAACTGTATTATAGACGTGTATGTTCCCGGGCCTGGAGTTTTCTGGAAACAGGATGGAAAACAGAGAGTGATGAGATAGTGACACAAAACCCCTGAGCGTCCCGTGGCTGGCTGCTGGCTTGGATACGCTGGAGAAGGGGCCATGCCAACCTGGTGGACCCTTGAATGGGATAGAGTGAGTCCAGCTCCCGGGACTCACCATGAGGCAAGCCAGAGACCACCCACAGCCCGCTAGAGGAGAAGTCACGCCCCACCCGCATCTCCAGGCAGCCTTGTCCCGGGAGCAGTCGGCCAGGCAGCTCCCGCAGGGAACATCTGCCTGCCCTGCCCTGCCATCCCTCCGGCCAGCAGCAAGGGGTGCAGAGGCTGCACTCTGGGGCTACCACGCTGCTTCCGACTCGGGCTGTGCCTCCATCACTGACCCAGCAAAGGAAAATAAGGTGTTTCTTTATTTATTTATTTATTATTTGACAGAGTTATAGACAGTGAGAGACAGAGAGAGAAAGGTCTTCCTTCCATTGGTTCACCCCCCAAATGGCCGCTACGGCCGGTGCGCTGTGCTGGCCCAAAGCCAGAAGCCAGGTGCTTCCTCCCAGTCTCCCATGCGGGTACAACCGGGACTAGAACCCGGCGCCCATATGGGATGCCAGCACCACAGGCGGAGGATTAACCAAGTGAGCCACGGTGCCAACCCCAATAAAGCGCTTCTTAACCAGGCCCGTGGACCCCAGGATCAGAACTTCTCTCCAGGATTCATGAGTTCCAACCACTTTAAATCCTGTTTGTTTCCTTAAGAGAGAGCCACAGAGAGAACGCCCTTCTGCTGGTTCACTCCTCAGATTCCCGCAATGGCCCAGGCGAGGCCAAAGTCAGGAGCCCAGAACTCAACCCGGGCCTCCCGCGTGGGTGACAGGGGCCCGGTCACTGCAGCCGTCACCTGCTTCCCCCCAGGGTCTGCATTGGCAGGAGGCTGGAATCGGAGTAAACCCAGATACTCCAGTGTGGGATGCCAGCAATTAACCACAGGCCAACATCCACCCCTTAAGTCACTTTTTCATTTTGATGAAATACTTGAAAAAAAATTATTCAGTTTTAAAAGTTTGCTGATTATTTATTTGAAAGGCAGAGTGACAGAGAAAGGGGGAGAGAAGAGAGAGAGAGAGAGAGTCCATCCACTGATTCATTCCTCCAATGCCTGCAACAGCAAGAGCTGAGCCAGGCTAACGCCAGGAGCCAGGAACTCCATCCAGGTCTCCCACATCTATAGCAAGGGCCCACACTTGAGCCACCATCTGCTGCTTCAGGGTGTGCGTTAGCAGGACGCTGGATCAGAAGCAGGGGTGGGTTCCAGGTACTCTGGGGGTGAGGGTGGGAGAGGCATCTCAAATGGGCAGTTACCCTACTGCAGCACAATGCCTGCCCCATGTTCTGCTGATTAGTTAAAGAAAGCTTTTCTGAGGCCAGCGCTGTGGCGTAGCAGGTGAAGCTGCTTCCTGCAGTGCTGGCCTCCCATATGGGCGTGGGTTCAAGTCCAGCTGCTCCACTTTTGATCCAGCTCTCTGCTGTGGCCTGGGAAAGCAGTAGAAGTGGTCCAAGTGCTTAGGCCCCTGCACCCACGTGGGAGACCCAGAAGAAGCTCCTGGCTCCTGGCTTTGGATCGGCACAGCTCTGGCCATTGTGGCCATCTGGGGAGTGAACCGGCAGATGGAAGACCTCTCCCCCACCTCGCCTCTCAAATGAATCAAAAAACTTAAAAATAAATAAATAAATAAATAAAGCTTTTCTTCTGTGGTGATAGCATGCAAATGAACATGATTTTCATAGAGTGAGACTTCGCCGTCTTAGGTCGGGTTTGCCAATGCTGGGTGGGAGGAGGGGGCTGCACCCGTATAGCAGTTTAGGGCAAGGGTTTCAGAGTCTGACAGGCCTGGGTTCGAGTCCTAGTCCCACCACCGATGGCTCAGCGTGACCCTGGGCCATCAGCCCAGGGAAAAGTGCATGCCTGGCGGTGGTGTGTGAGGCACCCTGGGTCCCTGTGAGACAGACAGTGCTGGGCTGGCCAGCAGCAGGTGCTCCTATGTCAGCTCCCACCATAGTCGAGATCTATCTCCGGCTTGTTTCCATCCCCCCTCAAAGCTGGTTATCTCTTCAGGAGACAGGGAGAGTGAAAATAGAATTACCCTGAGCCCAGCATCAGCCTCGGGCGGGGGAGGGGGGGCCGGTGGCCTGCAGCAGCCCCTGTAATTGACAGGATGTCTCCCCTTGCCAGAAGCCCGGGAATCTAATCAAGTCCTGGGCCGACGTCAGAGGAAGCTGCAGCCCCGATGATTAGTGCTATGAACGGGCTGCCACAGGCGTGTGCAGCCCTGGAAGGCCGGCACCGGAAGAGTCAGCACAGGGGCCTGTGCCCAGCAAGACTACCCAGCAAGGGGCTGCTGCCACGAGACCTGGCCCCCAGCCCTGATGGCGCTGTCACCAAATGATCTGGTTATCCTTGCCCTCCGTGCAGGCTGTCCTGTAAGTGGGGGCCTCTCAGATACCAGGGCCCTTGGGGGATGCTGAGATGGACACGAAGCATCTGGCTTCGCCTGCGAGTCTGGTTGGTACGACCCAGTCTTCCTGAGCATGCCAGCTCCGTGGAGCCCGGAAACAGGAGCTTCTAGATCACGATGATGCCACTGACCCCCGAGGATCCGCCGGCCTCCTGCCGTGGTGCGTCTGATGGGCAGGGCCTCCCCAGTGCTCTGCCATGTCAGGGCCAGAGCTCTGGGGCGGGGATTCTTAAAGGGGCTTGGGGCAGCCCGGGGCGGGGGGGACCACACAGCCTGGCCCCTCCTACGCCCCACCTCCACGACTCCTGGATGGGCTTGCTGTCTCCAAGGCAGAATCTGTATTCCTGTTTCCCCAGCTGTCTCAGGTGGGCAACACATCCGCAAGTCTTGGGGGCTTTGAGACAAGGCCGTGGGAATCAGAGCTGCCTTCCCATGGCCGTGCATGAGGGTCCTTGCGGGCCACCTGTCCATGCGCAGGGTGCACACGCCTCTCCCCTGCCGGTCTCCAGTGGTTAAGGGCCCTGTGAGGCTCAGCAACAATGTTTCTGCTTCCTCGGGCTCGCAGGAGCCGCACCCACAGAGCAGCGGGGCAGGAGCGGGGAGCCCCTGAAGCCCAGGGGCAGAGCCGTGGGCTGACGGCAGTGGGGGCGGAAACACCCACAACTCAGCCTCCGCTCTGAGCCTGCAGCGGGCGGAGGCCTCCCAGGTGCCCAACCCTTCTGTCTGCCTCGACAGGGGATGGTGTAGGCTGGGCCTGTTTGTAACCAGAGCTCCTGCAGCCCACCGCTGCCCTCACACCACGCAGTCATTGGACCCGCACGGCAGCCACCCTGTCGGGGGTGTCTGCCTCCTAAGTACTTACTGAGCCGCTGGGCAGGAACCGAGGGACTCTGGATTGGAAACAAGAAGTAATACAACTTGGTGGTGGTATTTTCAAGTTATAATGACCTGGTCCCGGGCCTTCGTGCTGTAGAACATTAAGAGAGAGAGAAGTGTATTTCTTTATGACTAATATTTGAGATACAGATATATATTTTTTCAGTTTATCCACTTAGTTAAGAGACAGAGAGCGGTCTCCCAGTCACTGGTTCGCTCCCCAGAAGGCCACAACAGCTGTGGCTGGGTCAGCCCAAAGCCAGAAGCCAGGAACTCAACTGGGGTTTTTCACAAGGGTGGCAGGGACCCAGGCGGTGAGCCAACACCTGCTGCCTCCCTGCACATCAGCAGGAAGCCAGACCAGAAGCTGAGTAGCCAGGACACATGCAGGCACTCTGATATGGGATGCAGGCATCAACTGCTGAGCCAAACACCTGTTCCACAACATCTGATGTATTTTCATGTTCTCTTGGTCGTCCACAAACAAACGTGACTCAGTGTGCTATGCCAGCAAAACCGCTAGATTTGGGCTCAAGAGATCTTATTAAGATATGACCTGGGAAATGGGAGTCACACCTGCCCTACCTTCTTTACCGTCCTGTGACAGTGAGGACTGAATGAGACTCAGTGGCCTGGAGAAGTTTCATTGTCCCTGTCAGGGTCCCCAACACCCATGAGCCCCCTTCGCACATCTGCGTGCCTGGCACCAACCTTGTCCCACTGTTAATGGTGACTTGTTGCTTTGAACTGTTAGCTGTCTAAAACACACTCACTCTTTCATGTAACTGCCCTCTGCTATCTCAATCCAAGAAAGTATCCACAGCAACTCACTGATAGAAGCACAACGCTCTAAGACTAACATGAATGAACACACATAACAGGGGGCAAAGACAATAGGAAAGTGAGCGAAAGGTGATTCACAAAGAGGACTTACAAATGTTCAGTTAGCAAACTGGGGGAGAGAGGGCTTTAGCCTCATTCAGAGCCAAAAAATTCTAATTAAAAAATGAGATCTCTTTTTTGTGGGGGGAGGAGTTGGCTAGGAAAACAGAGAGAGAGAGAGAGAGAGAGAGAGAGAGAGAGAGAGAGAGAGAGAGGAAGGGGGGACGGGAACGGAAGGGATGCTGATGGGAGTGTAAATTTGATCAGCCTTTCTGGAGTGCAAGCTGGAAAGACACGGATGGCTTACGCACATCCAGGTCTATCCAGAGGGAGAGAGGAGAGGAGCCGGGTCAGGAGGCGGCAGGAACCCAGGAGAGACGTGCCGAGTCCTGCGCGGCTGTGGCAGGGGAAGGGGCACGGCCGAAACGGCGCTGCGTGACGCGGGCGTGCTGCGGGCATCCTCCATTCCCTTCCTCTCCCGTTTCCCAATGGCCAGGGGTGGGACAGGGCACAAAATAGAGTCTTCTGGCATTGTTTTTGTATCTGTTTCTAAAAAAGCGGGAACTGGGCCAAGCAGGCAGGAGCAGAGTTGAAAGGAAACTGGGCAGGAGTTGGTCATTGCTGAATGGGTCCTTGAGGGCTCAGTCATCGTATTCCATCTGCGTTGTGTGCGAGCTGAAGGTTTTCACAAGACGAAGCTAAAAACACTCCACGTTTACCATGCTGACCCAGGCAATCGCGGGTCTGTGCAAACATTTACCCCCAGAGATACTCACTGTGACACTGCTTCCAAAAGTGAAAAACTGGAAATACTAAATGGCCGATGATACATACCTGGCTAAATAAATAATGACCTTTTCACCCAGCCAGCCAGTGTTGAATTTTAATAAACATTTTAATAAACAAAGTCATTGTTGGGGCCGGTGCTATGGTGCAGTGGGTTAAAGCCCCAGCCTGCAGTGCCAGCATCCCATATGGGCGCAGGTTTGAATCTTGGCTGCTCCCCTTCCAATCCAGCTCTTGCTTTGGCCTGGGAAAACAGTAGAAGATGGCCCAAGTGCTTAGGCCCCTGCATCTGCATGGGAGACCTGGAAGAAGCTCCTGGCTCCTGGCTTCAGATCAGCTCAGCTCCAGCCATTGTGGTCATTTGGGGAGTGAACCAGCGGATAGAAGATACCTCTCTCTCTCTCTCTCTCTCTCTCTCTTTTTAAAGATTTATTTATTTGAAAATCAGAGTTACACAGAGAGAAGGAGAAGCAGAGAGAGGGAGGTCTTCCTTCCGCTGGCCTACTCCCCAGTTGGCTGCAACAGCCAGAGCTGTGCTGATCTGAAGCCAGGAGCCAGGAGATTCTTCCGGGTCTCCCATGTGGGTACAGGGGCCCAAGTACTTAGACCATCTTCCACTACTTTCCCAGGCCATAGCAGAGAGATGGGTCAGAAGTGGAGCAGCTGGGACTTGAACCAGTGCCCCTATGGGATGCTGGCACTGCAGGTGGTAGCTTTACCCACCAGCCCCGACCTCTCTCTCTCTCTCTCTGCCTCTACTTCTCTGTAACTCTGACTTTCAAATAAATAAAAATAATTATTTAAAAAAGTCATTGCAAATATTTATTAAGTGAAAAAATGGAAGCTTAGAAAATGCATAAAATATACTTGGGGGGTGCTGGTGCTGTGGTGTAGTGGGTGAGGCCGCTGCCTGCAGTGCCAGCACTCTATATGGGCACTGGTTCGAGTCCCGGCTGCTCCATTTCTGATCCAGCTCTCTGCTATGGCCTGGGAAAGCAGTAGAAGATGGCCCAAGTGCTTGGGCCCCTGCACCCACGTGGGAGATCTGGAAGAAGCTCCTGAATCCTGGCTTTGGATCGGCGCAGCTCCGACCTTTGCAGCCGACTGGGGAATGATCCAGTAGATGGAGGACCTCTCTCTCTCTGCCCCTCGTCTCTCTGTGTAACTCTGACTTTCAAATGGATAAATAAATCTTAAAAAAAAAAAAAAAAAAAAACACTTAGAATGGGATTACTACAAGGTGTATTCGCTCAGTCTTCTCTAGGTGGTAGCATATTAAGTACAAAAGGAAAAAAATTTGGGGGGGGTTATTTTTAGTTTCTAATTTTTATACATTGAACATGCGTGCTCTTAAAATAATTATGCTGGGGCCAGCATTGTGGCATAGTGGGTGAAGCTGCCACTGTGATGCCAGCATCCCATATGGGTGCCGGTTTGAGTCCCTGCTGGTGGCCTGGGAAAAGCAGCGGAGGATGGTCCAAGTGCTTGGGCCCCTGCCCCCCAAGTTGGAGACCAGGATGAAGCTCCTGGCTCCTGGCTTTGGGCTGGCCCAGCCCTGCCCATTGCAGCCACCTTGGAAGTGAACTAACAAATGGAAGATTGTGCTTACGCTCTCTTGGCACTTCTCTCTCTCTCTCTCTCTCTCTCTCTCTCTCTCTCTCTCTCTCTGTAACCCTGATTTTCAAATAACTAACTCTTGAAAAAATATTGAAAATATAATTATACTGAATGTATAGATTGATTAAATTAGGTAAAGGAGAAAAGGGAGTCCAAAGAGAAAGAAAAAGCCAGCAGGAAGGGTAGGAGAGAGACAGGTATCCTATTCAGGGGTGGGAAACCTTTTGTGCCAGGACCATATGGATTATTTATAACATCATTTGCGGGACATAAAAAATTATCAACTTAGGGGCCAGCACTGTGGCATAGCAGATAAAGCAGCCACCTGCACCGCCGGCATCCCATGTGGGCACCGGTTCAAGTCCCAGCTGCTCCACTTCCAATCCAGCTCTCTGCTGTGGCCTGGGAAAGCAGTGGAAGGCAGCCCAGGTTCTTGGGCCCTGCACCTGCATGGAGAGGGCACAGAGTGCTTCTTCCTAGCTGGCTCTGTGTTCTCTGCTGTCCGGGACCAGGGGACTGGAAGCCGTGCCCAGCAGAGCAGCATGTGGGAGGAATCAAATGCTGTGGATCTGCCACACCAGCCCCAAGCTGCCTGCAGCCCCTGCTTCACGCAGGAGAGAACTTCGTCCTAACTGACGAGAAAGGCGTGCATTTCTGACTGGCATGGGGCTTACCAAAAAAAAAAAAAAAAAAAAAAAAATCACAAATGTGTGGGTTCTGAAGAGGGTGGACAGGGTACACAGTAGAGCAGGGCCTGGCCCAGGGCCCGAGAAGCCCCTTGATGAAGTACCTTTGAGCTGAGACTGAAGAACCACGGGGACTTGCTGATCGAGCAGCGGGAGGAAGGGTTTGTGTGGGACGCAGAGACAGGGAAGGTGAAGGCAGGTCCTGAGGAAGCGCCTGGAGAGAGGGCTGGTACTCATCTGAACCTGCTGGGACAGACTCACTGCATTGCAAAAATAAGATAAAAAGTGCTGACCGGCCTGCGCTGATTGCATCAGCAGAGAAGACCAAAGCACAGATGATTAGTGGTTGCTGGGCTATCTTCATCTCTTCTCTCCCATTCAGCTTTCTGAACCACGGATGACCCAGGGGGTTAGGGGTTCAGGGCTACAGCCAGGCTGCATGTGTCAGACCCCATTAAAACAGAGCTTCACAAATCAAATCCATAAACAGTCTCTGAAACCTTCTGAGTGCAGGATATTTGCAGTAGGGATGCTGGTAGATGTTAAAAAAAATATTTAATGGGACCAGTGCTATGGCTCATTTGGTTAATCCTCCGCCTGCAGCACTGGCAGCCCATATGGGCGCCGGATTCTGTCCCGGTTGCCCCTCTTCCAGGCCAGCTCTCTGCTGTGGCCCGGGAGGGCAGTGGAGGATGGCCCAAGTGCTTGGGCCCTGCACCCGCATGGGAGACCAGGAGGAAGCACCTGGCTCCTGGCTTTGGATCGGCACAGCGCCAGCTGTGGCAGCCATTTGGGGAGTGAACCAACGGAAGGAAGACCTTTCTCTTTCTCTCTCTCACTGTCTATAACTCTGTCAAATAAAAAAAAATTTAGTGTGGAATCATCAGTTCAGGGGCACCGCAAGTGGATTGTGAAGACAGAGACAAAACTTCAGAAAACATTAATGCTACAGGAATGAAACAACAGGACAAGCAGACCCTCACAGAGTAACTCATAGATTGCGCAGACAGTACCAAGCAGGAGGGCTGATGATGAGCTCACAGTGAAGAGAGGTGGGGTGGGGGTGGGGCGTGGTGTGAGAAGGTCTGACGGAAGAGGGGCTCTAGAACCATCCCTGGAAGAAAGGTAGGGACATGGGAGGAGAGGGAGGGAAGAACTCGTGAGAGCAATGCACAGGGTCAGCCAGGAAGCAGGCAGTGTTGGAGGGTGTGAGCCACGTTAATGATGGCAACAACAATGTTAACATTAAGAAGGGATTTAATCTAGTGTTATTGTTACTATGCATTTGAGACGCAGAATACACACAGAGGGAGGCTGGCTCATGCTCCAAATGCTGGCAGCAGCCAGGGCTGGGAGGCAGAGCCTGGAGCCCAGGACTCAATCCGGGTCTCCCAGGTGGGTAGCAGAAGCTCAGTCACTTGGGCCATCTCCGGTTATCCCTCAGGGTCCACATCAGCAGGGAGCTGGAAGCAGGTGTCAAGCCCAGGCACTCAGGTGACACGTGGCTGTCCTAAATGTGTGTCGCTGCCAGGTGACACCTCGAGAAGGGACTTTTAAGGAGTTGAGTCTGTCCTGTTTCCACAGGCTCCACAGCCACAGATTCAGCCAACCACGGATCAAAAACAGTTTTCCGAAAATTACGTCTGGGAGCAGACATCTGGTGTAGTGGTTAGGGTGCTTCAGAGAACACCCACCCCTGTAACTGAATGCCTGGCTCCAGGCCCCGCTCCGCTCTGTCCAACCTCCTGCTCTTGAGTACCCTGGAGGGCAGCAGGTGTGGCTCACCAAGTTGGGTCCCCGCCACCTGTGTGGGAGACCCAGCGGAGGGCCCAGCCCCAGGTGTTGCAGACGTTTGGGAAGTGAACTAGTGAATGGGAGAGTTCTGTCTCTCTGTCCCTCTCCCTTTCAAATTATTTATTTATTTTTTATTTATTTGACAGGTAGAGATGTAGACAGTGAGAGAGACAGAGAGAAAAGTCTTCCTTCCGTTGGTTCACTCCCCAAATGGCCACCACGGCTGGCACTGAACCAATCCGAAACCAGGAGCCAGGTGCTTCCTCCTGGTCTCCCATGTAGGTGCAGGGCCCAAGCACTTGGGCCATCCTCCACTGCCCTCCCGGGCCACAGCAGAGAGCTGGACTGGAAGAGGAGCAGCTGAAACTAGAACCCGGCGCCCATATGGGATGCCAGCACCGCAGGCGGAGGATTAACCAAATGAGCCACAGCGCCGGCCCCTCAAATTATTTTTTTTTTAAATCAGAGAATTTTTAAAAATGTGTCTGTACTGAACATGTTCACCCTTTTTTCCTTGTCATTATTCCCTAAACAATACAGGGTAACAACTATTCATTTAGCATTTGCACCGTGTTAGGAAGCATAGGCAATCTAGAGCGGATTTAAAGTGATAAGAGGACTGCATAGGTGGTGTGCAGACACTACACCTTGTTATATAAGGGATTTGAGTATCTGAGGAGTTTGATACCCTTGGGCGTCCTGGAGCCAGTCCCCCCAAGGGAAGACTGTATTATAAAATTTCACCTTTCACTTAAAAAAAAAAATTTTTTTTTTGGACAGGCAGAGTGGACAGTGAGAGAGAGAGAGAGACAGAGAGAAAGGTCTTCCTTTGCCGTTGGTTCACCCTCCAATGGCCGCCGTGGCCGCGCACTGCACTGATCTGGAGGCAGGAGCCAGGTACTTATTCTGGTCTCCCATGGGGTGCAGGGCCCAAGTACTCGGGCCATCCTCCACTGAATGCATAAGAAAAATAAACTATGGAGCAAAACTCTCAACATGACCAAATCATTCTCTATAGGAAACTTGGATTTGCTAAACTCACTTTTATAAAATCATCTCTCCGGAAAGTGCACACACTCCACTTCTCAGGTGAAGACTCCAGGCACCAAAGACACGCGGAGTGACTGTGAAAGGACGCTTTCCTAGGCCTGTAGTGAGGGAGCTGGCCTCTTGTCGGTCACAGTGTGTTGCTTTTCTCAGGTGTATTAGTAAGTAACCCTCAGAGCATCTTTTCCAGTTTGGTTGCAGATGTAAACGATTACGTGTCGCCAAGTGCTTCCAGTCTCTGCACACCTCACGGGTTTGAAGCCTTCCTGTCCGAGGCGGGAGCAGGTGGAAACCCCCGCCCGCAGGTGCTGGGCTTGAAAGGTTGGTCCGAAACAGGTTGATCCAGCCTGACCTGAAACGGGCTCAGCACGCAGGCTGCAGGGCCGCCCACCAGCAGCTCCCCACGGAGCTGCCCAGAGCACTGCCCCAGCCCCGCAGCCACCACTGGCTCCCGTGCATGGTCACTTGAAACTCACACTGTCGCCTCCATTCAGCAGATGAGAGAGTGAGGCTCAACGGGGCGAGAAGCCAGCGAGTGGGCGCCTCACGTGGGAGCCAGGGCCGGGCACCGACCTCGCTTCCCGGTGCTGGAAAGATGCAATACCTAGCTCTCGCTCTTTTCTTTAAAACCACAAGCTGAAGGCAACCTAGACAGAGCACTGGGTCTGTCCCCTTGCATCCCAGGCACAAACAGCTTTCAGTGGATCCTGTTAAAGAAAGGGCCAGAAATACGCTTGTGGCCCCAAATGTCTAAACAGACACAGAAAACCCAAGAGGTAAGGAACAGAAGCTGAAATTACTACGGGGGGGTGGGGTGGGGGAGTACTCAGTACGCTGCCTCTGGCAGGCGGGAGTCCACTGTCTGGCGAGGAAGACTCCTGGGTCGGGCTGGGTACAGGGACACACTGGGCACCACAGCTCCAGGAATTCAGGAGGAGGCCAGTGGCAGGGCCCACCAGTTCGGAAAGGGCTGGAGTTCCGTGAGCACCGCTCCACAGGTTCCGAAGAGAAGGGAGACACACATGCTGCCGGATCAGATGGCGGCCCCAGGCAAGCGTCCAGAGTTACTGCCACTGGGTAAGTAAAACTTGGCCGCACCTGGGAAGTCCCCCTCGGTACCGTTTGTTTCTGCAGAGGGGCAGAGTGGCCATCTGGGGTTCCAGGGAGGCTGCAGTGTGGGCAGGGCCACAGCGAGTGATCACTAACCTGCCCCTCCAGAAAAGGGGCAGTTTTTACCGGCGCCCGTGTGCCAGGGATGCCCGGGGAATCCAGCGCCGCCTGGGTGCTCAGTGCCCTGCTCTCTCTTTCCCAGGGACCCGCAGCAAGAGCAGTGGCCCCAGGATTGCCTGAAACCTGAAACAGTGCTTCTGACCAGGAACTCGGGCCCCAGGTCTGAGCCACTGCCCACCCTGCTCATCCTGGCCGCGGTACTCAATTATGCTGGCAGGAAACCAACACACCATGCCACCATGATGCTATTATGTTTCATCTCTTTCCTGCTCCAAGATACTATTACAAGAAAGAAGCTCTCGGTGGGACACTCACACTCCCTGGACTGCCCATCCGTGACTCCATACATGTCATCCTACATGACTCCAGTGGAAAAGGTGTGTGAGCTTTTTTTAAGAAGCAAAGTTTCCAGAGACTGGCATTGTGACATAGCAAGTAAAGCCACCACTTGCAACACCCATCCCATATGGGCGCCAGTTTGTGTCCTGGCTGCTCCGCTTCTGATCCAGCTCCCTGCTAACGGCCTGGGAAATGCAGCAGATGGACCAAGAGTTTGGGCCCCTGCCACCCACTTGGGAGACCTGGATGAAGCTCTTGGCTTTGGCCTAGCCAACAGCTGACTGTTGACACCGTCTGGGGAGTGACCAAGTGGATGGAAGACCTCTCTCTGTCTCTGTCTCTCCCTCTCTGTATAGCTCTTTCAAAATAAATAAGGAAAAAAAAAAGACAAAACTTTCCATATTGGATATTTTTTTCTTAAAATCTGAGCATATCTGCTGCTGAATTTGAAATGCTTTATTTTTCTCAGTTTCTTTGAGGAGACTGAGACAGGAACTACTTTAAGCATCTTATATTCCAGATTCCATGCAGGCAGAAATGAATTTTCCTCTTAATTCAATCTGACCATGTTTCTAAATTATTTTTCTGCTCCTCATGGGATTTTAAACTCTTTGCTTAGTTACTTTCTTTCGTTTATGTATTTATTTATTTGAAAGGCAGAGTGACAGAGAGAGAAAGACACTTTCCATCTGCTGGTTCACTTCTCAAATGCGCCCTCACAGCCAGGGCTGGGCCAGGCCAAAGCCAGGAGCTGAAACTCCATTCAGGTCTTCCACGTGGGTAGCAGGGACCAGGCACTTGAGCCATCACCTGCTGCCCCCTTGAGTGCCCATTAGCAGGAAGGCGGATCCTGCGTGGAGGTGGGGCACTGGCCTCATGGCTCAGCAGGTTAAGCTGCCGCCTGCTACACCAGCATACCCTGTGGGCAACGTTCAAGTCCCAGCTGCTCCCTGCTAATGCTCCCAGGAAAGCAGCAGCAGATGGCCCAAGTGGTTGGGCCCCTGTCATCCACATGGGAGACCCACATGGAGTCCCAGGCTCCTGGTTTGGGATGTAAGCTAGAGGATGTAAGCTCTCTCTCTCTGTAGCTTTGCCTTTCAAATCAATCAATCAATCTGTGGGAACTCCTAACTATGAGGGGTCACGGGAGACCCAACCTCCTGGAACTCGCTGAGCCCCCGTGAGGGGTGGCAGTGGGACGACTTTGATGGAAGCAACACAATGTTCTCACACTGACTGTTCTGCAGGCTCCTTTCCTCCAACACGATCTACTGGCCGCCTTTGAAAATTGCATTTTGAAAGATTAGAAGAGTAATGGGAGAGAAAGGAGACAAATTGCCACCTTTAGTCAGGGCACAGCCACTGCGAGCGTTTTGGTGCATTTCAGTTTATTTATACACACTCTTTGTCTTACACTACTTTAATCATAATATACATATCGATTTTTCACCTGCATGTTTCATTGCATATTACATCGTAAACACTTCTGGTGCTATTTTGTAATTTTCACAGTAATTGTTTAAATGACTGCAAAATATTCCTTTGAGTGAATACTTAATAGGTTTTTTTCAAAATGATTTCCCTTCTGCTGGGCACTGAATTGTTTCTGTTGTTCCCTTGCCGTTACAAATAATCCCTTAATGGTATCTCTGTAGAGCTGAATATCTGTATTCAAGACGGTTATGTTGGGAGGGTTTTCTCCAAGAGGAATTAGTGGACTGGAAGAGAGAGACCCCCCCCACACACACACACACATACACAAATGCACTTCTGACAGTGTGGAACAAATTGTCAAATGGCTTCTAGGGGCCTGTATACACCCACCAGCAATCTACAAGAGAAGCACTGGTCTCTGTGGGCCACACAGCAGGAGCTGTGGAGAACATAAGTTTAGAAACATAGAATTTTCCTCACGCCTCCTAATCCTAACAGGAGTTAGAAATAAAGTCATCAGGAGCGCCTGTGTGTTGGAAGAAACTGTGCAGAATATCCTATATGCGTGATGCCCATCATCTGAAACACATTCAGGAGGGGATACAATCACGCAGATGTTAGTTGGAGCAGGAGCCTTATGTGGGTTACTTATATAAAAAGCAGTACACCTCTTTTAAAGGGGAGGGGAAACCACAAGTGACCAGTTTTCCTTTGTCCCGTTCTCTTGAAGGAGAGGAGAGTTTCCTCGTGGTATCATTTGCCTCTTGAAAAGCACTGCGGTAAGAGATGTGGCCTTTAGCAAGGTGCTGAGTGCAAGGGGTGGTTGGTAGGAATTGCCAATGTGATTTTTTTTTTTTTTTTTTTTTTGACAAGCAGAGTGGACAGTGAGAGAGAGACAGAGAGAAAGGTCTTCCTTTGCCGTTGGTTCACCCTCCAATGGCCGCCGCGGCCGGCGCGCTGCGGCCGGTGCACCAGGCTGATCCGAAGGCAGGAGCCAGGTGCTTCTCCTGGTCTCCCATGGGGTGCAGGGCCCAAGCACTTGGGCCATCCTCTACTGCACTCCCAGGCCACAGCAGAGAGCTGGCCTGGAAGAGGGGCAATCGGGACAGAATCCGGCGCCCCGACCAGGACTAGAACCCAGTGTGCCGGCGCCACAAGGTGGAGGATTAGCCTAGTGAACCGCGGCGCCGGCCTGCCACTGTGATTTTCCCTGTGCATGAAAATGGCCTTTTTTACTTATTGTCAAACATGTCCTCTGGCCATACCCCAAAATACACCCATAAATACTCTCCTCATTGTCTTTCCTGTGGATAAAATAATAATTACTGATTATTTCAGCAATAACAGAACAGCCAGTCAGTATACCACCTTGAATGGGTAACTAGAAGATTGAAAAATATTTGCCAACTGGACAAATTCCATACCAACTGCTTCTCCTGAAAGCCACCACATTCTGGACTCAAAATGTAATTCATGAACCAAATCTCTGATGCAAACAAGAAAGTTGCATGGTGTTGGCTTGTGCTAAGCAATTGTTAACATCTCCTCCACTTTGAGGGGCCCTTGGGCACACAAGGTCCTAGAGGACTTTTAAGTTCAAAGTCAACGTACTTTTTACGACTGAAAAACCACATAGGAATCTGGTAACCCTTCATGCAGTTACTATTCATTTTTAATAGGCTGCTCTTTGGGACTGTACGCATAACTGATTAACAGATTCTGATGGAAAGAGAGGAGGAGAGGTGTGCACCTGCATGTATGTTGCATACCCTTGTCCTCAAGAGTGGTTAAAGGGGTCTGGTGAACGTCTATAGGTCTATATGGTAGGTCAGATCCAAAAGGTGCTTATAGGTTTTACATAGACCAACAATGAGGCAACCTGTCTAAAGTCAACAGGGCTCAAATAGTACCAGGACCTCACCATGCAACCACAGACAAAACACACTGGAGAAAAACTAAGACATTAAAAAAAAATAAAGAAGAAGGGGAGGAAGAGGAAAAGGAAAAGGAGGAAAGAAGATGCCACTGCCTGGTATCATGGCACAGCGGGGAAGCTGTCGCCTGTGATGCCAGCATCTCATGTGAGCACCCGTTGGAGTCCCAGCTGCTCCACTTCCAATCCAGCTCTGTGCTGGTGTGCCTGGGAAACAGCAGAAGACGGCCCAAGTAGTGGTGTCCCTGCCACTCACATGGGAGACCTGCATGGAGTGCCTGGCTCCCTGCCTTCAGCCTGGCCTGGCTTAGGCCATTGTGGCCATTGTGGGGGTGAACTAATGGATGAAAGACCTTTCTCTTTGTCTCTCCCTCACTCTGTCTGTAACTCTCTCTCTAAAAAGAAAAGAAAAGAAATAAAAGAAAAGAAAAGAAAAGAAAAGAGAATACCAAATCTCCACCCAACAGACAGTTGGACAGAAAGTACAACCATCCCTTGGTACCCAAGAGGGACTGGTTCCAGGACTCCTGTGGATACCAAAGTCAGCAGATGCTTAACTCCCTCGTATAAAATGGCACAGCGTCTGCCATTTCATGGTGTTTATAACCATGCACATCCTCCCATACACGTTTATCTATTTATTTATTAAAGAGGTGGAGTTACAGACAGAGAGAGAGACAGAAAGGTCTTCCATCCGCTGGTTCACTCCCCAAATGGCCACAATGGCTGGAGCTGGGCCGATCCGAAAGCAGGATCGAGGAGCTTCATCTG